AAAACAGCCACTTACCTGTCCCTCTATCCCACGGTGTCCTCTCCGCAACCCCTTTCACCGGCTGCCCTGTGTTCTTGATATCTTCAGCGTGGGCACCCGGCAGAGACAGCTTGTGGCTCCACAGCCGGGTGCTCACTGCGCATGCACAAGTAGTGTTGTACTTTGTGAATGGTTCTGTAGTGTTGTGGGACCTGTCATGTGTCCCAGAAGACTACAGGGAGGGAGGGAGGACAACTTCTGTTTCCAATTACCTAGGCAATTGCAGCGGAAGTGGAAGTGGGTACCTGTCAATTTCAGGTACTCACTCCCTCCCTGCTCCCCAAAGGTGTCAATTCTTAACAGGGAACAGGGGACCAGTACTTAACCAATACACGCCCGGCCAATAGCCAAAAGGCGGCCGGAAAAATGTATCGGCTTTCCGGGTTGGACGCCAAATGGTGTCCTCCCGCACATGCGCACTTTTCGCGCTTGCAGAGCCGAGCAGCGGCACGATCTGTCACCGGCCGTGTACCTCGGACACGGCCGATGACAGATCTGAGTATCAGCCCCGTTGCCGGTACCATGTGACCTGCTGTGACCAATCACAGCAGGTCACATGACAGTTGTATACAATGGATGGCTTCATTCATGCCATCCATTGTATACTACTGCCTAGCTGTGAATGGTCACAGCTAATCTAATGCACATGTCATGTGATTAGCTGTGGCCAAATCACATGCACATGTCATGTGATTAGCTGTGGCCAAATCACAGCTAAGCACAAAACAAAAAAAAAAAAAAAACCCTGAATGAATCGATGTCATTCAGGTAAATGCTTGCTTATAGCAAAGTAATTCTTTGCTATAAGCAAATTGTGTGAAAAAAAAAAAAAATACTGATCACTTCCCCAAAGTAGTACAATGTTACTATGGTAACATTGTACTACTTTGAACATAGTGAAATATGAAAAAAAATCTTAAAAAAAATAAAAAAAAGTAATAAAAAATTAAAAATTAAAAAAAAAAAAAAATATATATATATATATTTTATTTTCATACTGTCAACAGTCAGTGTCCCTGATCACTGCCATGCCAGTTATATGAAGACCACTGCACATGTGTAAGTAGTGCTATGCTTTCTGAATGGTCCTGTAGTCTTCTGGGACCTGTCACAGAAGACTACAGGGAGGGAGGACAACTTCAAGGGGCATACAATCGAAGGTCCTTAACTTACAGTGGGGCAAAAAAGTATTTAGTCAGCCACCAATTGTGCAAGTTCTCCCACTTAAAAAGATGAGAGAGGCCTGTAACTGGCATCATAGGTAGACCTCAACTATGAGAGACAAAATGAGTAAAAAAATCCAGACAATCACATTGGCTGATTTGGAAAGGATTTATTTCCAAATTATGGTGGAAAATAAGTATTTGATCAATATCAAAAGTTCATCTCAATACTTTGTTATATATCCTTTGTTGGCAATGACAGAGGTCACACGTGTCCTGTAAGTCTTCACAAGGTTGGCACACACTGTTGCTGGTATGTTGGCCCATTCCTCCATGCAGATCTCCTCTAGAGCAGTGATGTTTTGGGGCTGTCGCTGGGCAACACGGACTTTCAACTCCCTCCAAAGGTTTTCTATGGGGTTGAGATCTGGAGACTGGCTAGGCCACTCCAGGACCTTGAAATGCTTCTTACGAAGCCACTCCTTCATTGCCCCGGGTGGTATGTTTGGGATCATTGTCATGTTGGAAGACCCAGCCACGTTTCATCTTCAATGCCCTTGCTGATGGAAGGAGGTTTGCACTCAAAATCTCACAATACATGGCCCCATTCATTCTGTCCTGTACATGGATCAGTCGTCCTGGTCCCTTTGCGGAGAAACAGCCCCAAAGCATGATGTTGCCACCCCCATGCTTCACAGTAGGTATGGTGTTCTTTGGATGCAACTCAGCATTCTCTCTCCTCCAAACACGACGAGTTGTGTTTCTACGAAACACTGTAGCTTTCACGTAAACCAATTCATTTGCACGTATTGGGATTTTTTTTCAGCAGAATACATTTTGGTCTAAATTTATGAAGAAATTTAATTTTTAAAATTTTTTTTAGTGGATATGTTTTATAGCAAAAAGTAACAAATATCGTTTTTTTTTTTTTCAAAATTGTCGGTCTTGTTTATAGTACAAAAAATAAAAAATGCAGAGGTGATCAAATACCACTGAAAGAGAGCTCTATTTGTGGGAAACAATTTACATAAATTTAATTTATGTACAGCGTTGCAGAACTGCACAATTGTCAGTTAAAGTACCACATCGCATAAAATGGCCTGGTCAGGAAGGGGGGTAAATCCTCTGTAGGGCAAGTGGTTAATATGTCAGCTACCACTACTCACCTCTTCCTAAAATTTAGGGCCGAATTACACCAGCCCATTTGATTGTGGTCCACAACAAAGGTATGGAGTGAGCTGCCATTCAGAATGTACGCTGCAGAAATGTGAGCCCATTGACACCAACATCTTGTATTCCTCTGACACAAATGATATAGGACTTATTTTTATTTCCACTGACCCCAATGGTTTGCCTTGTTTTATCCCGCTGACACCGATGATTGGGCCTATTTTATTCTGGTGACACTAAAAATGGGGCTAATTTTTATTCCATTGACCATAATGATGATGGGCTAAATTTATCCCAGTGACACCAGTGCCAGGGCTTTTTTTATTCCAGTGACACCAGTGATGGGGCTCATTGTATCCCAGCGACACCAGTGATGGGTTTATTTTATTCCAGTGACACCATGGATGGAGCCTATTTTATCTCTGTACACCAAATATGGGTCTAATTGTATCCTGTTGACGCCAATGATAGGGCTTATGTTATCCCACCAAATTCAATGATGGGGCTTATTTTATCCTGGTGACTTCATTGAAGAGACTTATTTGATCCCATTTTTCTCTTTACTGTAGTCCAAGGCCCTTTTTTTCCCTAAACCAGCAAAGTATAGGAGGAAGGTTTAGACACTACAATATGATATGAAGCCACACCCACTTTCTGATCACACCTACTTTCAGCCACACCCCCTATGTGTCTGACAGCACACTTTGTGCACCACATTTTTTCTTCTCAGTGCCCCCTTTACCTGTTCTCAAACATTGGTAACTAGTTACAATGAAAGAGACACAAGCCCGTGGGGTTCATACTTGCACCCTCATGTTCTGGAGAAAGGCAATTTACAGCTTTCAGTGCTGGGTCTTGCTCTTTCAGTGATGCTTTCCTAAACTTCTGCTCTTAACAGGAAAGAGTTGACGGTGGACAGTGCTGGTGTCATTCTGTTAACTTGAAGAAGAAAGAGGCAGAAGAAGGGAGGAGAAGTGGAGTGCCTTTCCATATTAGGCTATGGGGCTGTGTGCTTCCATTGTTGTACACAGTGTAGGGAGACACAACACTAGTCCCTGCATTCAAGGCTGGCTCCATAGAATGCTGCATGAGAATGGAGCCACCCTGAAAAAGGACACCTGTGGCAGTGATCATGGCACCAGCTTAAACTGTAATATAGGTAAGGATTAAAAGAGAAAGACGCTACCTACTCAGTAATGACTAAATCAGCTGCTAAAAGTGCTTACAAAAAATCAGGGTATAAAGTGACAGAGGAAGATTTACTAAGTCTAGGTTCACACGTACCTATGCAGGTTGCATTTGAGGCGTTTCTGCATTGCCTTTTGCGTTTTTGCACTTGCGTCTTTACCACGTTTTTGATGTGTTTTTGCATTTTATTTTTTTATTTTTTAAATTATTCCTGTTGCTAGGCAGATTTTAAATGCAAAAAGCATAAAAAATGCATAAAAAAATGCAATACATGCTTTTCTGCAGCGTCCCCATTGAAGTGTATAGAACCAAAAATGCAACGTTTTGCATTCAAAAAAAATCCCTGATGCTTTCCAAAAAACACACCGGGTGAAAAGGCACAGGTGTGAACATGTCTCATAGGAAATCATGTTAAATGGACTGTACTGAGTTTCTGCAAAATGTAAAATGCTGCAGATGATGCTTAGGTGTGAGCCTAGGGTAAAACTGGATCACGCAGAATCTGGTGCAGCTGTGCATGGTAGCCAATCAGCTTCTAACTTCAGGTTGTTCACTTACGTTTTGAAAATAAAACCTGGAAGCTGATTAGTTTTCTATACAGAGCTGCACCAAATTTTGCACTCTCCAATTTTAGTAAATCCCCCCCAAGGCCGCATTCACGTCTGGTGATTTCAGATGCGCATTTTTTGCACTTTTTTTGTGTGTTTTCCATGCCACATACATAGGACCGATCATTGATTTCAATGGGCTATCCTATATGTGGCAAACAGGACAAAGTAGCTCATGGGACTTTTTGCTGCGTTCCTGTTTGCGTATTTTTTTTTTTTACTGCTGCACTTGTTTGTTTTTGTATGTAGCAAAACACGTTTCCTTGCGGTGTCATTAACAATTAATGGCACCACAAGCGCGATTTTTCACATTCCAGAAATGTGTGTGGAAATGTGTGTTCCTGGAATGCCCAGATGTGTACGAAGGCAAACTCTAGTCAAAAATTCTATTCAAGTATAAGGCTTCATGCACACTAGAAAAGCTAAAAATTGCTTTAGAAATGCTGGACAAAAAACTTGAATGTTTTAGCGTTTTCTGCCAGTGTTTAGCCTAGTGTGTAAGCTACGTTCAGTAGGAGCGAGGACGCCATTATTAAGGAGAGGGCTGCCGTGCCCTTAACAACGGATGTTGTTGATGCTAGATGTAAAAGAAAATAACATTGCCGGCAATAAAAAAAAAAGTGAAAAAAGTGGCGTAGGGGTCCCCCCCGTAGACCCCAATAAAAAAAAGTGAAAAAAGTGGCGTAGGGGTCCCCCCAATACATACCAGACCCCAATAAAAAAAAGTGAAAAAAGTGGCGTAGGGGTCCCCCCAATACATACCAGACCCAAAGATTTTAAAGGGAATCTCATACCAAAATTTATAAAAAAAAAACACAGTGTGGGCCCCCCCCAAATACCATATTTTTCGCTCCATAAGACGCACCTGACCATAAGACGCACTTAGATTTTAGAGGAGCAAAAGATGACCAGAGACTGCAGACATAGTACAGGAGATGATCAGAGACTGCGGACATACTACAGGAGATGACCAGAGACTGCGGACATAGTACAGGAGATGACCAGAGACTGCAGACATAGTACAGGAGATGACCAGAGACTGCGGACATAGTACAGGAGATGACCAGAGACTGCGGACATACTACAGGAGATGACCAGAGACTGCGGACATAGTACAGGAGATGACCAGAGACTGCAGATATAGTACAGGAGATGATCAGAGACTGCGGACATAGTACAGGAGATGACCAGAAACTGCGGACATAGTACAGGAGATGACCAGAGACTGTGGACATAGTACAGGAGATGACCAGAGACTGCGGACATAGTACAGGAGATGGCCAGAGACAGCGGACATACTATAGGAGATGACCAGAGACTGCGGACATACTACAGGAGATGACCAGAGACTGTGGGCATAGTACAGGAGATGACCAGAGACTGCGGACATACTACAGGAGATGACCAGAGACTGCGGACATAGTACAGGAGATGACCAGAGACTGCGGACATATGTAGTACAGGAGATGACCAGAGACTGCAGACATAGTACAGGAGTTGACCAGAGACTGTGGACATACTATAGGAGATGACCAGAGACTGTGGACATAGTACAGGAGATGACCAGAGACTGCGGACATAGTACAGGAGATGATCAGAGACGGCGGACATAGTACAGGAGATGATCAGAGACTGCGGACATAGTACAAGAGATGACCAGAAACTGCGGAAATAGTACAGGAGATGACCAGAGACTGCGGACATAGTACAGGAGATGACCAGAGACTGCGGACATAGTACAGGAGATGACCAGAGACTGCGGACATAGTACAGGAGATGACCAGAGACTGCAGACCTTTGGGGAGTGGGGGAGGGGCGGGTACACGAATTTGACAGGTACCCGCTCCCACTTCCAGGAAGTTGTCCTCCCCCTCCCTCCCTGTAGTCTTGTGGGACACGTAACAGGTTCCAGAAGACAATGGGGCCATTCGTAAAGTGCAGTGCTTCTTGCGCATGCGCAGTGGGCACCCTGCTGTGAAGCCGCAAGCTGTCACAGCCGGGTACCTACACTGAAGATGCCGGCGCCAGGGAAGAAGACGGCCAGTGAAAGCAGGACACCACTGGACAGAGGAACAGGTAGGACAGAGGAGCAGGTTCTTCTGCACAGTGGAGCCAAGCGGCCGGCTCAGTATTCTAACACAGCGGCGGCTCCATAAGACGCACAGACATTTTCCCCCATTTTTTTGGGGAAAAAAGTGCGTCTTATGGATTGAAAAATATGGTATATACCAGACCCTTATTCGAGCATGCAGCCTGGCAGGCCAGGAAAGGGGGGGGAAAAAGAGAGCCCCCCACTCTTGAGTCATACCAGGCTACATGCCCTCAACATGGGGGGGCGCTTTGGGGCAGGGGGTTCCCCCCTCAAAGCATCTTGTCCCTATGTTCATGAGGACACTGGCCAGTAGTTGTCGAGGTCTGTGGGGGGGGGGGGCTTATCAGAATCTGGAAGCCCCCTTTAACAAGGAGGCCCCCAGATCCCCCCCCCCACCTATGTGAATGAGTATGGGGTACATAGTACCCCTACTCATTCACCATTCCAGAATGCACTGGCAGAGGGTTCTATTTCTGCCACTAAACTTGCGCTCCAAACAGCAGCTGTAAAAGTTCCCAGTGTGCATGAGGCCTAGGCTTGGTTCACAGTTCTGCGGGCCGTGTGGCCTGTGTTTGCTCGGACAGGGCAGCCCTTTCATTTGAATGTGCCTGCGTTTCCCGCACCTTTTTGAAAATGAGGCCGCAGGGAAACCTCACAATCTTTTTCTACGGTCCTGGCTAAGATGTGTGGGGGCGTCTTTTTTAGAATGAATGGTAGCCGAGTGTTTCCTAAGAACAATGCTATTTGGCTGCGGGTGGTTGAGGGAAAAGATGCGATTCCCAGACCCACAACCAGCCCGCATAGTGAGAACCTAGCCTCAATCCTTAACTCATAAAGGCCACTTCTATGGCTCTCAGACTCCTCCAAATAGTCAAATTCTTTTTTTTTTTGCTTGTATCTAGGAGTGTAGCCACCCCCGCTTATTTACTCTCAAGATGGACTATAGGATTTGAAGTGTACACAGAGCAGTGCACATGACCAGAACCAGAATGCATTGTGTGCTCCAAACCAGGGGCGGACTGACCATTTGGAAACTCAGGCACTGCCCGAGGGCCCGGGGTCAGTAGGGGGCCCCATGAGATGCCCCTGGTACATTTTTCATAGGCTTTTTTGAGTTTGGGCAAGGACACAGGGGCCCCATGATCCCCTGTTGCCCGGGGGCCCCATGAGTTGTCAGTCTGCCCCTGCGCCAAACAAAAGGAAGTGAGGGGGAAAAGAGCAGACTCAGGAGCTCACAGAGGCCTATAAAAAGAGGCAGAAAAGCACAGCAAGAAATTATTTAAAAAAAGTAGAATACAGGGCCAGTAAGTAGTGGATGTGTAATTACTGGATTCATTGTGGAGAATAAGGATAGAATTTACTATCACTTTAAATTGGTTTGTTAGCCCAATTTTCACGAGAAGTGGTGGGTAGGACGCGCATGCGCAGTAACAGACACAGGACCGGTGACGCGGGCGGAGCCGGCTCTGTACACACACCGCACTGGACTCGGGGAAGGATTGGACATCTCGCGAGACTGGGACGTGGGCAGATTCGGGAGAGGTAAAGCTGTTGGAGAACGGTTTGTGCCCGGGGCTGGCGGAGGACGTCTGTGGTATGAAGAGGGCTCTGTGTGCGGGGATGGGGATCGGGTACTGGGAGGATGGACAGGGTATACTCGGGTAATCAGATCAGCCCGGCATCGGTCACTGTCCTCCTATCACTGGTGATCCGGGCTTATCCCGCATAGTGATGGTGACCAGCCGTGTGTGAGGGTGTCGTGCTGCATCGGTGAGTGTGGGAGGAGATCGCTCAGACTGTGCCAAATGACATTTGTTGACATTGAGGGTCCACCGTCTGTCCGGGGGATGACATCCTCTGTGTGTGTGACCTCATCTGTGCACCCCACCTTTCATCTGTATACCCCACACACCCCACCTGTCATCTGTACACCCCACCTGTCATCTGTACACCCCACACACCCCTCCTGTCATCTGGTGTGATGACCCATTGAATGAAGATCAGTGATTGGGTCACTTGTGTGTAGGTGGAGATCGGTGATGGGGACACAGATGTGGGATGTGTTGATGGAGATCGGTGATGGGGACACAGATGTGAGATGTGTAGATCGGTGATGGGGACACAGATGTGATATGTGTAGATGGAGGTCGGTGATGGGAACACAGATGTGGGATGTATAGTTGGATGTGATACAGATGTGGGATGTGGAGAGTCGGTGATGGGGAACACAGATGTGGGATGTGTAGATGGAGGTCGGTGATGGGGACACAGATGTGGGATGTATAGTTGGAGGTCGGTGATGGGACACAGATGTGGGATGTGTAGATGGAGATCGGTGATGGGGACACAGATGTGGGATGTGTAGGTGGAGATCGGTGATGGGGACACAGATGTGGGATGTGTAGATGGAGATCGGTGATGGGGACACAGATGTGGAGATGTGTAGGTGGAGATCGGTGATGGGACACAGATGTGGGATATGTGTAGATGATGGGGACAGGTGAGATGTGTGATGGGGACACAGATGTGATATGTGTAGATGGAGGTCAGTGATGGGGACACAGATGTGAGATGTGTATAGATGGAGTCAGTGATGGGGACACAGATGTGGGATGTGTAGATGGAGATCGGTGATGGGGACACAGATGTGGGATGTGTAGATGGAGATCGGTGATGGGGACACAGATGTGATATGTGTAGATGGATGGAGATCGTGATGGGGACACAGATGTGATATGTGTAGATGGAGATCGGTGATGGGGACACAGATGTGGGATGTGTAGATGGAGATCGGCGATGGGGACACATGTGGGATGTGTAGATGGAGATCGGTGATGGGGACACAGATGTGAGATGTGTAGATGGAGATCGGTGATGGGGACACAGATGTGGGATGTGGAGATCGGTGATGGGGACACAGATGTGAGATGTGTAGATGGAGATCGGTGATGGGGACACAGATGTGGGATGTGTAGATGGAGATCGGTGATGGGGACACAGATGTGGGATGTGTAGTTGGAGGTCGGTGATGGGGACACAGATGTGGGATGTGTAGTCGGAGGTCGGTGATGGGGACACAGATTTGGGATGTGTAGGTGGAGATCGGTGATGGGGATACAGATGTGGGATGTGTAGGTGGAGGTCGGTGATGGGGACACAGATGTGGGATGTGTAGATGGAGATCGGTGATGGGGACACAGATGTGGGATGTGGAGGTCGGTGATGGGGACACAGATGATATGTGTAGATGGTGTATGGGGACACAGTGTGAGATCGGTGATGGGGACACAGATGTGGGATGTGTAGATGGAGGTCGGTGATGGGGACACAGATGTGATATGTGTAGATGGAGGTCAGTGATGGGGACACAGATGTGAGATGTGTAGGTGGAGATCGGTGATGGGGACACAGATGTGAGATCAGTGATGGGACACAGATGTGGGATGTGTAGATGGAGATCGGTGATGGGACACAGATGTGGGATGTGTAGATGGAGATCGGTGATGGGGACACAGATGTGGGATGTGTAGATGGAGATCGGTGATGGGGACACAGATGTGGGATGTGTAGATGGAGATCGGTGATGGGACACAGATGTGGGATGTGTTGATGGAGATCGTGATGGAGACACAGATGTGGGATGTGTAGATCGGGTGGAGATCAGTGATGGGACACAGATGTGGGATGTGTGTAGATGGAGATCGGTGATGGGGACACACAGATGTGGGATGATGTGTAGATGGAGATCGGTGATGGGGACACAGATGTGGGATGTGTAGATGGAGATGGAGATGTGTATCGGTGATGGGGACACATGTGGGATGTGTAGATGGAGATCGGTGATGGGGACACAGATGTGGGATGTGTAGATGGAGATCGGTGATGGGGACACAGATGTGGGATGTGTAGATGGAGATCGGTGATGATGGGGACACAGATGTGGGATGTGTAGATGGAGATCGGTGATGGGGACACACAGATGTGGAGGGATGTGTAGATGGAGATCGGTGATGGGGACACAGATGTGGGATGATGTGTAGATGGAGATCGGTGATGGGGACACAGATGTGGGATGTGTAGATGGAGAT